AGATAACAAGCGAATTGAACGATAGAATTGCGAAGAATCAGAGAACATAGGTAGAGAGGATCGATGGCTATTCTGATAATCTCGATACATTACACTAGGAGTTTGGAATTCATCAGTAGTAGGTTGAATCACAATCTATCAGTGTCGGCTGCATGCATACTACCCTGACAGAATATAGTCAGCAAGAGTCACAATGGCTAGAAGAGCAAGATCAGCTGGCAGGCTTAATTGACTCAGATTTGATCGGGGCACATGAAGATTACCTGTAGCATGTAGATGAAACTAGACCAGAGGGCGAGGAGGAAAATAGATTTATTAGTGTGTAATCATGTATCTGTAAGAGAAAAAGTAATATAGTAGATTATTGTAACGGGGGCTCCCTCAGGTAGATGGCTCCCAAGGATGCGACCGCACCAAACTTCAAATCTCTCGAACACAGCTCTTGCAAAAGTGTAAAGAATAAAGTAAACGGTAAAACTTAATATCGTTAAGCTCAGGCTTATCTCAATTAAAGTCTCTCGAGAGGATGTTGATTGTGTCGGGGTAGGAGAGTTCTTGTATAATCTTTAAGTAGTCAGACTTATACCAAAAACTCCCCCATCAGGTTACCCCGACCAACGTGAGTATGCCCTTCTCCATAAGGGTTGCCCCGGCACCATTACCGTGTCCCCGGAGGGCTATAGGTGTCAGCGCACTCTAGCAGAAATCTCCCATATGCACATCAGTTCCTGCGAGGTGTTTACCAATACACCTGCCGGAGTGAAAACCTCTGCACATCGGTGTCCCGTCAGTGGCTAACTGTCGAGACCCTTGGGAAAGCTAACTAAATGACTCTCTTCCCATATGCTATGACCTATGCAAGCACTCGTAGACATCAGCTGTCCTCCGGCTAAGTTCTATCTTTCTTGATTGCGAACTTAGAGGGTCTACGACGCTCCCCCGGAGAGCTGTGTCGGTGGCGGGACCCATAGGCGCTACCCATGGTCCCTTACCCCCGGCACACCACTCACCGTGATAAGTGTCATGCTATTAGAGTCTTCAAACAACCCACAAAGAGCCTACGGCAAAGGGGCACGTGTAGGCTTAGTTGGCGTAAAACCTTCCCAGATGTCTCCGGCACTACCCGGGACTACTCTGGGGACCCTTCCGGATAGCTCATGCTAACTCCGTCAGTTTTGGTCCGTTTTACTCCGTTCCTCTTGGGGAAGGTACCTGACCTTCTCACCTTGGCCCCCTTATATATCCTGCGAACAGCTTCCAGTCGGACGGACGGCGACGACGCATACAGTGTTATGGACATGTCTTCATAGATTCCATTTAACTAGCATAACGGCAACTTCACCCATTTTGGCCCATGACGCCCGGGGCGAACCCTGGGGCCGCAGGTACCTGTTAGGAATAATTCTACCAAGTTACAGCTTGTTCGGAGCACTATAGCTCCTCCCGTAGTCTTCCGATCAAAGTGCAATCAAGTGCCCGTCGATCGTCATTGCGTAACAAACAATCCTAACATTTCCCGAAATTCCTCCGAGAACATTTCCGACGGAAGGTAGGGTAATAGTGTCCCAAAGGTAGGGTAAGTATGTCCATGGTGACACGAAACCAGTCTCCATGGTAGGGTAACGTGACCTCCTTAGGCAGGGTGAACTTACCCGGCCTTCTGACCTATCCATAGGCTAGAGCGGATATTGTCACGTTATGACTACTACTTAGGTACACCTATTCCTTAAGTACCTTCTGTTCTTAGAGATTTCCGGACCATCAGATATCTCCTGAATATGCGCCTGCATACCCGCCTTGTCTACCATCTGACCTCTTGGTCTTATGTATGGGCGTAAACGTAGGTTACCATAGCTCTATATTGTAGGGTCGTTACAATTATGAAATATCTGGAGGTATGAAGACTAGAAAAGGAAGTCCGGGGAAAATGCAGATAGAACACGGATGAAAAAACACGGCTCTGTAAATACGTCCTGTGGATATAAAGAAATACAACATGGAATTGGAAGATAGGAACAATAGGAGAGGGAACTACAGCAAGGTCAGAGGGAGGATGTAGGACGTCCAGACAGGAGAATAAAGTACTGAACAGAATGTGGAAGAAGCATAGACGAAAAGGAAGTCTGGGGAGAATGCGGACGGAATGCGGATAAAAAAAACATGACTCTGTAAATATGTCCTACAGATATAAAGAAATACAATGTAGGATTGGAAGATAGGAACAATTGGAGGAGTGACTACAGCGAGATCAGAGGGAGAATGGGGAACGTCTGGACAAGAAGATCAAGTATGGGGAGAAATGCAGATGGAGCGCAGACGAAACAAGCTATCATGGGGGGAAGAATAGGCTGGAGACAGCAAATATCAAAAGGGCGCCAGAGGAAGGAATTGGTAGGGGAAATTCATCGGCAAAGGAAGCCAAGTATCCACGGACGTCCAGGGTGTCTGGGCCAAGGTCCACACGCTGGATAGATAGTTGTCATAGAGAGAAGAATGAGTTAGAGAGAGCAAATATCGAGAGGGCTCTGGAGAAAGGAATCAGTGGGGGGAATACGTCAGCAAAGGGAGACAAGCATCCTAGGATGTCTAGGGTGTCTGGGCTAAGGTCCGTATGCTAGGTGGATAGTTACTAGGAGGGTCCCTCCAGCAATGTCTGGTATGTGCAGACACAAAAAGGGTGCGTCTGGACGGAATAGGTCAAGGCATGTCCATCCTGATTATGAGTTTACATTTACAACTTCTAGAGAGTCTGATGTACAGGAAGTACAGGATGCAAAAAGAATTTTTTGCTGATGTCGGTGGCCATGACACTGAGGGAGAGAGAGGGGAGCTAATATCATGAACTGTAACTAAGCAAGGTGTATTTTACATAGCTCAGGATTCTGAGCTATAAGTATATTAAGATTTTATATAACATACAAAAGTACATCATAGGTTATTATGTTTACCTGTTTGTGACTCACAGTTGTAAATTATGATATTATAATTTTTACATAATTATGACTCAAATTATGAGTTGTGGGTTTCACTCAGGTGATGTCAGTTATATACCTGACTTGGTTATTGAGTTTTGATTAGTTTAAGGTATATTGCGCAGCAACTCATAGGAGTAGACTGATAGATTTTATATGACTTACAGTTGTGAGTCATAAGGATCACATGATTTGAAGTACTAGTATGAGTCATGCTAGGTAAAGAGCAACTATATAAAGAGTTACTAGGACTCTAAGTATGAGCTCTTCATATGTTCTTCTAAGTTATTTCCTACACTTATATTTTACATAAATAAAAACTACCTTTACGCTCTTTAAGATTTATCTGAAAAATTTGAAAAACTATCTTTGATTCTAAGGTAAATAATTAAGTCCTAAGCGAAGACTTAAAAAGATTAAGGCAATAGGTATAACATAATAGAAGTCAAAATGACTTAACTATTATTGTCTCATAGGCAGAAACCTGAGAACTATTATCTTACTGCAAAGTAAGAATCATTACCTGTCACAACCTGGACCCATACCTGGTAGGATTCTTAACAATATACTACTGCTCCATTATCTAAGCTATATGGTCTAAAGCCTACTCTAACTTGATCCCACAATTTCCTTCTATAATAAGAGGCTTTCTTATTGCTAGTTATCAATAGAACCCTTCCTTAATCAATACTACTCAGATAGCCTTCTTGCTCATATCATACTCAAGCTCAGTAGCAAGTTGTTGAAAAGACAAATAATGATTCTACAAAAACATACAAACATACTCGATGAGTTCTTCAATTTGAACCTGAGTAATGATGGGAGGCTAACAGGGTTTTTTTGAGGATGTAGCTAGGGAAATGTACACATACTGAATTTGGTACTAGGAATATCTAGTTTTTTCTGAGATTTGTATGTATTTCTAACTAATAGAACATAGAAGCTGGCAATCTCATCTTTGATCATCAGTAAAATGGATGGATTTCAAGTTCAGCATATTTGTACTTGATATTTTTATAGATTTGACAGGACAGAAATTTTTTTCACAAAGTCTTCACTGTTATCCAGGTATCCTTAATGCCACAATATCTACTTTCAGCTAACTATCCCTGCTAACTCAATATCCCCTGCTAGTGCAATGTACAAAACTTAGGGGTTGTACCTCCCATATTGTATCTTGATTGTTGTATTCTAGTGTCAACCAAACATGCTACTTAAAAGCAAAATACCGGTGTGGTGCAAAGAGCCTAAAGGTGAGTGCTCCGATGAAATGGCATTTCCGTTGCAACCAATTAGGTTTATGCCAAGACATGCCAAGACATGCCAAGTAAGATGAAATAATGAACTAGTTTGAAGGGAATTATAGAAAACAGAAGATAAAGAGGAAATAGAATTAATATGATTCTGTATTGTAATAATAAATTAATAGAAGGAAAGTACTTAACAAATTCCTTCTGCCTTGAGATCCTGTAGTCTGTGATTTTTTTTGTTTATCTTTTAGGGGTGGCATATAGGTACTACTGAGTCTGAGTATAGACTCTATTCAAAGTTCAAGTTCCTGTTCTGTTATCGCAGGAATATTTCCAAGTCTGCTGGTGCTTAGCATTAAATATTAATTTATCCTACTCACATTTACTCTACTGTATTTTTCAGTCTGTTACTAGGTACATTCTATCACTTGTTTCACTCTCACCCAAATTTCCACTTTTCAATCTTGAACTACTTTTTCCTACAACTTTAAATAAAATAAAAAAACATAGGGCCTCTTCTCCTCTTGAGTAGCTTTATCACCTACATTTTTTTTTGAAAATATTTGCTGTTATGATCAACTAGTTCAAGATCGCATTTGGCCTGTTTGGAGGACCCGGTTTGTGTCACTTTGCACCATACCATTTTGTGGCAAGCCTCCATAACGGGGGTCAAAATAAAGATTTGAGGTGGCAACCAGACGCGCCCTAAATCTCTCATCCAGCTTCCTCCCTCACTCCGCGCCTTTCTCCATACTACGCTTCCAATCCATTTGATCCCGGGTTCCGAAGTTGGGAAGAAACAGCGCAAATATTCCCGTACTCGAGTACCGTACCCTTTCCATCCCTTTCCCCTCTTCCTCTCTCCACCTCTCGTCTTGCCCCATCCCCGCCCCTGTCCCCTTTCCTTCCTTCCTCTCCTTACCGCCACTTTTTCTCAATCGTTGTTGCCTCGTCAATTGCGCGCCAATGATCCCCTCCGTCTCATTGCTCCCTGTGCTCTTACTACTCTGGCAGTCCGTCAACGCGGCTCCCCACGACAGCGACAAGCTTGAGCGTCGTGAAGATAGCGCATCGACCACCCCAACGCCCACCCCGTGGGTGAGCGTCGTCGACGATGGATCCGCCACCACCGTCACGCCAAGTGTTAAGACCGATAGCTCGGGTAACCCAACGGAAACAATCAGCGCGACGCCATCCGAGACTGCCTCCCGTGGTGGTGGTCCGGACGATAATGTTGTTGCACGCTGTGATAGCTCGAAATACGAATTAACCGAGACCGGGAATTCCCAGCCATGGGTTCCATTCTGTGCACCACACAATGGAACGGAATGGTGGGTTGACGGTAACTACTATGTTACGTGGAACCCGAAACACTGGGCGGGAAATTCAACTGTTAAAATCATCTTGAATTATGCCGATGCCGGTGGGGCTGGCAAGGTCGCCAAATTAGTTTGTCCCTCTTCCCTCAATTTTGACATCTCAAACACGAAATTAACACATAATCCAGTGGGAAACCTCCAACTCCTTCGGCCTCATCAACATTGAACCCTCCAAGGATTGGCTAGTGAATCGAACAGCCTTCAGCGACGGTATCAAAGAGACTGTCGAAAACCAAACAATGTACTTCACGATCGCCGATAACTCCCCAAGCGGCACACAGCCAAATGTTGAAACTGGCCCCACCATCATCCTAACCTCCCGCCCGAGCCCCCCACCTATAGACAAATCCCCCAGCAACCGCCCTCCTGTCTCTTTCCTCGGTCTAGCAGTCGGCCTCCCGCTCGTCTTTGTGTTTGTCGTTGGGACAATCCTCTCCCTGCACTTCTGCATGAAGAGCAAGCGCACAGTTGGACCGATCTCCATCGGTGGCGGTCGCAGACACTTCTCCCGGAGGGGATATTCCGGTCGTGCGGTACGCAGGCAGAAGGCTGCAGCCGTGGTGCGCACTGGGGATTACAGAGATGAACCCGAAGGGGAGATCGCGCCGAAGAAGGGTGAGTGGGAGTTGACGAGCGTGCAAGGTGGACGGTAAGCGTGTCATATATAGTCCTCGGACAATGAGGGAGTATCATATGTGGAATGAAAGTGTATGATTAAGATGGGAATGAACTATTGATTTTCTTTCTTCTCTCCTCTTCTGTCTTTTTCCCCTTCCTTTCCCAATTTCCCTTATGGTTGCCCTTTTAGTTCCCCTTTCGCTCCTAGAATTCCTATCGTACTTGTACCGAGGCCCGACGGATGAAAATATGGGCGGATAGATGGAGGGACGAAGGGGCAACCAGCCAACCGGCCAACCAACCGGCCCATGCTCTTACGGCCCCATCAAAATGGAAAACTTGTCTTTGATTATTTTACAGATGCGCGATGGCCAGCTATACATTTCGTGTACAGCTTCTTACCGATCACAGAAGAAACGGATCAAAGATAAAAAAAAAGCAAATGTCATGGCTAAAACTCTCGGTCTGGACTATGTTTTAATCCGGGAACTTTTTTTCATACGTAACGTGCCATATGCATTTTTAGTCCACCGCCGATCAAGTTTTGAGCATCGAGAGGAACGATCCGCATGATACCGGTAGTCTAATACCGGCACAGGACCGTAGTCTACGCCTACGAAGCCCCCGATCGGAGAACTAGACTACTTGCCGGCGCAGCAGGGTGCCGGTATCATACGGTACTCGTGCACAGTGGCATTATTCTACGATATGCGGCAGACCATGCACAAAACCGGGCCGCCCAGCAAAGGCGTGGAGCGCGGACAACTCGCAAAGAAACGGGACGGACAACCTCAGCCCGCACAAGTCCAGTACCGTACCCTACAATACAAAATACGGGCACCCGCAAGGTATTTTTGCATGCGCAGCAGCAGGGGTATGATACCATAGCATTTATGCCATGCTATGCTATGCCATGATTGCCAAAGACTACCACGCCATACAGTACTCCCCAATAAATTTGGAATCCTTTTTTTTTTTTTCCAAGAACTACGGTACCCGCCAAGATACCGCATTTCACCCTCTTACCACCGCGAAAGGTCGTCCGTCGCTCGGTCGGTCGACACCCGGGCAAAAAAAAAAAATCAAACAAAAATCGACAAGTGTCGTAACTTGATACATTAGTTATCATACGAGTTAAGGTCGGTATATAAATCGTGAGTGGGTATCTATCACAACTCTGCAGTACGGTATATCATCAAATCACGGTACCGTCGTGCTTTTTTTTCTATCCGTCTATGTGTAATATCAGAATTACCAGTACTATACCGTATTCCAAATATCGTAGCTGAATCGATGGAGGGTACGGTACGTAAGGGTCGTACGAGTACTGTACAAAAGTAAACCGGTATGAAACTGCATCTCTGCGCGGCGTATGTGGACTAGGGCACTCGTGGAATCGAGATGTCTCCGTGAATTATTCCTCCGGTTTGAGGTTGAGCCGTTCCCCCGCAGAAAGCAGTGTGTGGTGGGTGGGTGGAAATGGGATCGGTCGGTTGGGAAAGGAGGTGGGGGTGGGGTGGGTGCTGGCGAGAAGTGTCAAGGTATCATATTGTTAGCCCACCGGTACGGGTACCGTCAGCTTTGGACTCGCCTTCAAGTTGTTTTGGGAAGGCGAAGGTCTTCCTGGGCCGTGTCCGGCCTTGTGGGTTTAGCACTGTGCCTGAGGGCTTACAAATTGGTAATATTTCACATCATGAGATATCACTCCAGGTTACACTAAATCGTTGCCATCTCAACGCACGCTGCGGTGTGTTCTCAAACTCTTTATCAATATATACAAGAAAAATTAGCGTTATAGAGTATACAGTCCCGGATCGGTCAAATCCAGTTCATGTCAATCTTCTCAGTCTTCTCATCGAATTCCATGGATGCCATGCTATTCCTATTGGTCCCTTGCCTGCTACCATCACCACCGCCACTGCCACCGCTGCTGCTGCTGCTGCTGCTAACGCGGACACTTCCACGGTAAACAGGACCCGGCACCGCTATCCCGACTTCCTCCAGCATACCTGTAAGACTGTTCCTGTCGTTTCTGTACCAGTGTTAGCACATTGGTCTCCCCAAACACTACCCCCATGAATCTTAGAGAGGGGAGCAACAACATACTCTCCGCTAGCTGACAACTCGAATGGGTTTCCATGACTGTCCCTATCCCTAGTGTACACAGGCGCGCTCCCGGGCAGTTCCAACGCAGCCCTATTCCTACCCTTGCCCAGATTACCCAATAATTCCTGGAACGCGCTCAGCGGGACCCTTGTTGTGGGCTCCAACTCCGCTGCGTGGATCTCCTCGAGGCGAAGGCGGTTCACTCCTGCCCTTCGGATCCTGTATACCTGTACCGCCGCGAAGGTGACGAACAGGAGGAGTATGGCGGAACCGATGGATATGCCGATTATGGCTTGTTTGGACAGCGGAGTTGGGGCGGAGGAGGGGGAGGGCAGGGGGGAGAGGGTGGAGTTTGTGGAATTGGCGGGGAGTTGTCGAGCGAACACGGCCTCGAGACCGCCCGCCCAATTCGATCTAGGGGATTTCACGGTCGCGGCGCCGGTTTCGCTTGTAGCATCTCCCGTCAGTACTTTTCGGTTTTCCTATAGGAAAGAGGGAGCACAGGAAAAAAGAAAAAAATACATACTTCCCACCAATTCTAGAAGAAATTAAGGCAGAAATGTTATATTTTTCAGAACTCGGGTTGAATATGTTTGACCACGTCATATTAACCATGTTGAAGAGTGCCACCCCGTTAGGCTCCCAATCGCAAGGCCCGGGGAGTCCGAGCTTTGCCTTGTACCCGCCGATGGTAATCATCATCCGGTTTCCCACCATATGACAGGTGTGTGCTTCACGCTCGTCATTGCCGGGAAACGCGTTTATCCACTGGAAGCTTGGGAGGGAAAGGATGTAGACGTCGTCATATTTGTTGGATCCGTCCCAACCACCGTACATGTAACTGGTATCATTGACATGTCAACACACATAGAGGAGGGGAGGTTGAAATAGGAGGACGGTGGTTGATTACATGTTCCAACTGGTCTTATCCGGCGCTTGAGCACTGACAATACAGAAATCCAGCCTCGCTGGGGGTATCTCGCCAGTCGCAGTCTGGTTGTACCACCCCTTACCCCCAGTATCTAGAGATTCAATGTCAAAAACACTTATTTCACTCATTGGTGACTTGTGCGTATTAGTGTGGGTATTGTTCTCAGCCGACTAGACATGAAACTCACCAAGGATCCTAATATCACTCAGTCGGTCAGTCGGTGTGCTTCGTCAAGATGACATGATTCCAACGGAACAAACCTCTAAATTGATCGTCCGCAGCCCCAATAGGCTTTATTGATCCCCCAAACAACACCAAAATCCCCTTCCTCCCAATCTCCGGAATATATATCATCTGAGCATCCGCTCTCCCTGCCCCAACCAGGTCTGTGGGCAAAGCCCTTGCGCTCCCATTCTTGAGATCAAAAACATAAAACTGGTTCGAGAAGTTTATCGCGGTAGAGTTCTGGGTATCCGGACTCGTGCCGTTATCAGTTTGCCCACCATAGTAAAATGCCAACCCTCTGTCCTCCACAACGGCGCTGGCGCCATTTGATAGCCTGGGCACCCCTCTCCCGTCGCTCGATTTGAGCGGCTGGGGCGACCATTCTAAGGACAGTGTATCAAAGCGCCACAGTACAGTGTCTTCTGTTTTGGGGGACTGGTAGTCTATGAACGAGTCGTTGAGACGGCTGGTTGACCCACCGTAGAGGTATAGGGAGTTCTGATATGGCCAGAGCGCCCCTCGGGAAAGGGCCGGCGGGGCATTACTGTTTGAAGGGACTCGTTGATCCGCATCGAGGACCTCAAAGGGCAGGCGGTTCCGCCAGTTCCATACTTCGTTCAGTGTTAGGGAGATGAGGTTTCTGTCTAGCGCCAGTCAGCATGAGCAGTACGGCGAGGAGGGGCAGAGAGGGAGGACATACTAAATCCTACTGGCCTGCCCCCGGCTTTTTGAGAGTCCCTATCTCGAGTTTTGTTGTCCCAGAATATCTGAGCTCCCCCATCAATGTATAGCTTTCCGTTCAGAATGGCCGCTTCAACATCGTTAACAGGGGTGAGAACACATGACGTGAACAGGGCAATCACAGAGCAATCGCTTACATTGATGATCCCACCGAGTGCAAAAATTCTCAACAGGGTCAATATCCTGACCATCTGCGCCCAACAAAAAAAGAGTCCCAAGTACCAAAGAGAGGACGAGGTTGGCAACCCCGATAACCCGGGAGCCCATCACGGAAATCTGCCGTTCAACGACAGAGGGGTACCCGGTTGGGATAAAGGAATGGCAGTTATGCAGAGCACCGGGATAGCACAAGGTAGATCCGGCCCACCAAAGGGGAATAAATGGGGGAAGGAGAGGGGAAAGGGGAGGGAAAAGATCAGGACATGAAGACTTTAAACAATGCGGAATCACTCCTCCTTCGTCTGATGCCGGACCGACTCATGCTGGATCGGCTTGTGATCTCACGCCCCCAAATCCCCCCACTGTATAAAAAGAATCCTGATACCTGCAGGCATGCAATTTTCTGCGCTTGCTTATGCTGAGACCAAATTCAGCGGATCCGGGTATTACACATCCACTAAGCGAGTCGTTTCGACGTTAAACCCTGGCAGATGGAGAAGTGCCGGTATCAAATGCTCTGGAAGGCTCCATCGCCGTAATCCCGGCGAAATCTGTGCGGGAGGTGAGAGTAACCAACTTTCTCATGGTCAGGAAATTGAAAGATTACTCATGCACAATAGGTGATAAAGGGGCGGGAAACCCTCGCAAAGTTGTTCTCCGTCTTGCACTTTAGTTTGCCGAATAACGTGAGCGCGGAGTAATATTGGGTGGAAGAGCGATCGAGGTCTACAGTACTTCTATTTTGGTGGTTGCAGTAGAGTTTCGAGTGATTGGTTGCTGAAGCGCCCCAGGGGTCCACTGGGGTTTGACAGACTTACATGTTTCTACCCCTTTGAGGTGGTTGTGGGAGCACAACTACCTCTAAAGAGTTTAGTTCGAGCCTTGATTCAATCTCGCACTCCCAAAGCGTTTGTATGTATCCTCATGCTAGGTTCCAAAGTTCTTTCGGCTCAAATACCAGGGATGGTTCCTCCCTGTACTCCGCTTAATAGTCGTTACAGCTTCGTATTACAAAGAACCAGAACACAGCAGTGAAGTACCGTACTTTCAATTCAATTGGGTTCATCTTATTAGGGTGGTACGGCAATACCATAGCTTCACACTCTCGGGGATCCATTCCGCCCCTGCTGCTCTCCCCCCTGATCATCCTCAAAAATCCACCGGAGCCTAACGTTACTCGTATATCCCAGCATTACAACATAACCCAACTCGCAAGAATCTCATGAAAAATCGTTAGGACTACCCACTTGTCCTGCCAGACCATGAAGCAATGTCTTCACAGCTAGCTCCACCTCATTCTTCAGTAATGCTCTGTTGAAACTCGAAAGGTCTTGTTCTGGCTTTTGCTTTGAGTCTAAGCGCTCAGTGCCTGTAGGCGTAGCGCTGCGTGGTGTGATAAACCCGGGATCTGTTGCAAAGGTGGTTTGGCTAACCTCAGACTCGTAGCCCGCTTCGGTCCCCGACTCGTACTGAGCGGTATCACTCCCAGTACTTTGGTAGCTGGATCGCCCTACGCGATGCATTCTTGTGAAATCCCAACCAGCACTGAATGGGCTCAAGGCCCCAGGACTGCCTGAATCCTCCGTGCGGTGCATTCCCATTTCAGGTGTATTTATAAGCGACTTGTGGTGTGTCGCAGGGGTTAGGCAAGTGGCCTTCACTGGTCCTATGGCTCTTGGGCCAGGCAGAGACTGGGGCGCAGGTGTGGATAGAGATTGGGAGTTTCGTTCGACCAACGGTGGCTGTGGTAAAGAAGGCTTTGGTGGCGCCGCATCTGCCTGGCTCGCTAGCAGGCCCCGCCACCCGGGTCGAACCTGAACCCCCAACGAACTATCCCGGGCTCCAAGAAGGGCGATTCCTATTTCACTATCCCGTGGATTTCGTGGCAGCACCGATTCTTCTCTAGTTGGCACTGGATCTTGATGCGGGTATTTGGCTTCGGTCTCCATTTCCCGGGCGAGTGAAGTGGACGTATCCGAGAAGCTGCTTGGAGAGCTTGGTATCGAGCGTGTTTCCTGATTTCTGACCTCTGTATCTATCCCCCCCCTTCTAAGACCCATCACTTCCCCCCCCTCCTCCTCCCTTTTTTGTAACATATCACCCAACATCTCCTCAGTCTGTTTTAACAAGGCCACGACAGCACCTTGCCGTGAAAGAGCATGGCTTGGGCCGAGCAAAGCATTCTCTCTCCCAAGTTTCCCCGCAGAGTCCTTGGAAACGATTATGGCGTGATAGTTTAGTTTGGAGGCAATACAGTCTCTGCCGCCGAGGGGAGCTCGAGTATATGTTAGGATCCGAACATCGGCATTGAAGAGGGCTCGACAGTTGTCTACCTAATGTGAGTCCTAGGGATCCCGTGGCGTGAGAAGTGTAGAACGCAACATACCCAACACCTGATCACGATAATGCCGACAATCCATGGCCCAGTCGCTTACACCCCTGCCCAGGGAAATGATTGGTGCCGATTGGGTAGAAGTGCGGGGTGGAATTCAAGTGTGTGAACGCAAGACAAAAAAGGTGGGCCAGCAGGCTGCCGTGCGAACTGTCACAGACGTCCGAAGCAAATTTGGCCTTGTGGTTGACGCTATGAAGGATTTAGAGAGCGGAAAGAAAGAATAATGGGCTAAGTGAAAGGACAGTACACCGGGTTCGAAGAGGGATGGCATCGAGGCCTTTTTCTAATGTTTGCCTCTTCCCTCTTTTCCCTTTTTTTCTGTCCCACTTCATAGGCACTAACGGGCTGAAGCCGTATTACGGGGGCAATAATAAGACGGAAAGGGAAAGGGAGAGGGGAAAAAGCCCCAATGGTTGGACCTGTTGGTGCCAAACTCGTCTGCCTGGCCAATGATGATGTCTCCGGTGGGTCACCACAGCCATTGCACGGGAAAAGTGAGACACTGTAGCCTTAGATATAAACTTTGACGGCAGGGCTCGAGCATACTCGTGCAAACATTAGGCCTCCAGCCAAACCATTACCCATCACTTGCAAAACTGAGGGCTCGGCTTTTCCCAAATGCTAGCTTTCGATGATTCTCTGATCTCTAGCGTCCGTCACGGACAAGGAGTATCCTTACTATCCTATATTGTGCCCGTCTTGATTCAATGGAGCAAGCCGAAAAGATAAGACTAAAAATTGAGCCCATGATACCGGTATATTGCTGGCGACGCAGGCAGCCGTACGACTGACGGGACTGATATTATAATGGGTTTAGCAATTTGTGGTGTTCGCCACCAGGCACCGTGAAGATGGCTGACGCCGCGATGCTCTTTGTGCAGCGATAAATTAATATCGTTGAGCGATACGCGGGAAGAGGCGCGAATCATCATTTATTAGGAACAGAAAGGTGTGGGGATCCGAGAGTTTCTTGTTCCCGATACCGTACTGTTCCCGATACTGACCAACGAATGCGGACTTCGGAAAGAACAAGAAAGCCATAAATCGTGTTGGGAAGCCACTGGCATATATATACAGCACCGGTAGGGTCAAGTGTTTGAACCTACCCCCGCGCTGCTAGTTCGACTATCCTCGTACAGTGCTCGAATACTATACAGTATAATACGTATACGAGTACAGTACAGCCACATCTGTAAGGTTCTCATGCCCCTCCTTGCACATCCAGAACGATACATACTATCTTCAACAACAGAGCGGCTAGAGCCTCTTGGATAACTCTTCTCGGATACAGGTATTCCTCTAGGGGCACGGAAAGCTTCTATCACAAGCTATCTTGCTGGATAACGGGAGGGGAAGGGGAGAACTAGGGAAGCCTTTTCGAGGGTTAGTATCACTTGGAAGGGGATTGGGACCTCGGGAGCGTAGCTGTTAGAGCCTGGGAATCCTGCAAGTCTGGGTGAGTCCTCGAACTGAGGGTTGGGGAGAAATAGGAATTCTAAGGCGGGGAAACGTGCCGGCACATCCCAGTGTTATGTGTTTCAACCTTTGATTAGGAAATACTGCATACGACGGACGCCCACCGGGTTTTCCGTATGAAATGGCGATTTTTAACAGGTGCCTGCACACCACCGTACGGTAACCTTGGAAAAAATCTGGTGATTTTTTTTTGGCAATGTATTGACATCAAGATGCCCATGGTTGAATGCCATGTTATTTGTACGGAAACTGCTCTAAAAATTTCAAGCTCAAGAGTTCCTGATGTCTGCTCGAGTACTGCCAAAACACTGCCAAGACAAGCAACTTGCATGCCTGCTAGCTTCATTTCCCCACTACGGTACCAGTGTTAAGCAAGACAGAGGAAACAATGTGGGAATCCAGAGGGGTGTCGATTTCTTTTGCCACCGAGCTCGTACTTGGATCATGGGGTGATGGCCCGCCGGCCGGGTACGGTACCCCTTCTCCCCCCTTAATAGGAAGCGCGATATTATCTTCGGGCTGGCGCCGACATGGCGCCTGGGAAGGTGCGCAAAGTGCACTCCGGCCTAGTTGAGTGTGGAGGCGATTCGAGGACTAGGAGAGCTAGGTGACAGGTCCGGATAGTCTGGGTAGAGAGGGAGAATAGGGCGGATGCCGATTCACGGAGTAAGGTATCATAGTTCAGCTCGGCGCAAAGTTGACCAAAAATCGAGAGGTATTTCTCTCGAGTCATGCGATGAAGACATGGTGCGTGCATGTTGGGGAAAGAAGGGAAGTGAAGGCACGGGGCTGGGAATCCCCTCCCATTGCTGTGCGGGCACGGTGCCTAGGTAAGGTTTGGTCTGCGATTCTACTCGTAGTTCACAGAATTTCAGCAGGTTCTACCGTGCCTGCACTAGTGGCCCGGTCATTATCCTCAGGTTTATTCGGCTCATTGACCTGATAGTCTAAGTTCGACTTGTGGATAACGACCGATAGTTGGCTGCAGGATTTGTGATAGGGTGGTATGATCTGATAAATTCACCGCAGGGACCAAATGTTCACCAGAACGGCAGCCCTTCCCCCCAATCTTGGGGCGTTCAGCCTCCAAGAATCATTGCGCCGAACTCAATTCGGTTACGCTTCCAAAATCGGAGGAGCCCTGTTGTGGTGCTCCCGCTAACTGTCTCCAGGAATTGTTCTCCCCCTGTTCTTGTCCCTCTGCAGACTGCAGCACCCTGCGGCCACGCAGACCTCAACCCAGCTTTTTTCTTCTCCCCCCTTTCGGTTCGATACGAAGTTTTCCTCGTCCACTCCTTCCTCGTCCTCTTATTCTCCACCCTTCTCCTTTTCCTGCGTGAGAAAACTTGACACTCCTTGAGCTACTTCTCCTCTTTTCTCCTCCCCATTGTCATCTCCGGGCTCTTCGTTAAACATCGGCGATCAGTCCATCTGCTCCTCCTGCATCCCCTCCCGAGCTCCTGTATATCTGCATAACCAATCAACCAGTTTTCATCATGAAGGGTACCTGCAGCTCTCCAAACTTGTTTCCCTGGAGAAAAGGAGAAAATAGTTGGCTAATATTGTTTGTTTGGATAAAGCCCTCATTCTTGTTGGTGGCTTCGGTACTCGTCTACGACCTCTTGTATGAATTTTCCCGTCCATCAGTCCAACCCTTCTATGGAACCATCCGTCCCATGAACCCGTACTCTCCCGTACTCTCCCGTCATCCCATTTCATCCCGATGCTGTTTCAATCAGTGCAAATTAGACGGCAGCGTGCCGTAGAGCTGCGTGGTCCGCCGAAATATGCAGGTTGCTGACCATGGCTACCGGAATGTCGTGTTAGACTCTCACTCTCCCCAAGCCCCTGGTCGAATTCGGAAACAAGCCTATGATTCTCCACCAAGTAGAAGCACTGGCTGCAGCTGGTGTCACGGACATCGTTTTGGCCGTCAATTACCGCCCGGATGTCATGATTAGCGTCTTGAAGAAGGTGATCTAACCTTCATCAGCTCTTCTAGGGCATGCCTTATCGACTATGCTGACTGAACTTGGCGAGACAGTATGAAGAGGAGTATAAAGTATCAATTACCTTCTCCATTGAGACCGAGCCATTAGGGACGGCCGGTCCTTTGAAGCTCGCGGAGAAGATTCTTGGCAAAGATGATTCTCCGTTCTTTGTCCTCAACTCTGATGTTATTTGTGACTATCCCTTCCACCAACTTGCCGAGTTCCACAGATCGCACAGTCAAGAAGGGACTATCGTGGTCACAAAGGTCGAGGAGCCGTCCAAGTACGGTGTGGTGGTTCATCAGCCAGGCCATGCGTCGAGAATCGATCGCTTCGTCGAGAAGCCCATTGAATTTGTTGGCAACAGGATCAATGCCGGTATCTACATCCTCAACCCCTCTGTCTTGAGAAGGATAGAGCTTTGCCCTACTTCCATCGAGCAAGAAACCTTCCCTGCCATCGTTAAAGATGGTCAATTGCACTCCTTTGACCTTGAGGGATTCTGGATGGACGTGGGCCAGCCCAAGGATTTCCTTACTGGAACCTGTCTCTACCTCTCGTCTCTTACCAAAAAGAACTCGAAACTCCTCACGCCCGCGACGGAGCCATTTGTCTATGGAGGCAATGTCCTCATCGACTCATCAGCGAAAATTGGGAAGAATTGTCGTATCGGGCCGAATGTCACAATTGGGCCGAACGTCACTGTTGGTGATGGTGTGAGAATCCAGAGATCCGTCATTCTGAAAGAGAGCAGGATAAAGGATCACGCTTGGGTCAAGAGCACCATCGTTGGTTGGAACAGCACCGTAGGAAAATGGGCACGTCTGGAGAATGTAACAGTTCTCGGCGACGATGTCACAGTTTCCGACGAAGTATACGTAAACGGTGGTTCGGTGTTACCGCACAAGACCATCAAGGCCAATATTGATAGTGCGTTACCTATGTGAAGTTTCCAATGAGAATCTGTTTTACTGACTTGAGTTTTTAGTTCCGGCTATTATCATGTAAAGGTGTTCATCGGCTCTTGGCTTCACGCGACTTTGAAACCCTTTCCCGACTCCTTGGATTGGGACGTTAGAGGATGTGGTCTCTGCTCTTCTGTTTTGGATACAGTTAACATTATTTAATCAACATTTAAAAATGAGAAGTAATCAATGGCTGAATGAAGATGTTTGTATAAAAATGAGTGTTTCTCCGTTTGTTTTTTTACGATTGTGGCCCCGGGATGGGTTGATTTGGGGAGACACTTTTGGAAGTGAATCATCAGGCGAGATTTTGAACAATAAAACAGATACCTCGGGTGATGGCGCATACTGTGGTTAGCGGGGAAGCGGGTTCAGACTCCTCGACGCTCGGGCAGCCGGACTTAGCGGTACCGTGGTTGACCCCAGATGGGGGTACACCCTGCCAAATAAATGATGCGTATTCATGTCACTGGATCGAAGCCGCGTATTCTTTTTTGGGGTGGCTCTCCGAAAGGGGTGCCACTACAATCCGGCAACATGAGTAAGGCTTGATGTGTAAGTTGGTCACAAGTTATCACCCGTTGATAGGTGCCACGAGGTGGTTGTGGGGGCCTCTTCGAAAACTGGCTAATTTAGCCCCGGCCAGCCTGGACATCCTCGCATCGGAGCCCCCGCCGCACCAGCCCTGAAGCACGATTTTCTGCGGCAAAGCGGGGAAACGAGCGAGGAGGAGCTAATCCCAAGAAGGCACGTGCTTCGCTCGCCGCTGCCCCCACTCACTCTACGCCTTTCTAAATTATCCCTATCCACACGGCGCCGTGCCAATTCGCGCGAGCTGTCCGGGTATCATGGGTTGGATCACCGCAACAAAGAGCAAGCCACGCTTACTGTAGTCGGAAACTTTGTCACGGGAAGGAGCGCCAGCCGGCAATGTCACCCGGGGAGTTGGTTAGAGAATTGGATGATTCTCCTTCATCCTCCCCCTGGGTTGGATGGCTGGTTTGTTGATTTGGTTGGGAAAGAGAAAAGGAAAACCCTATCGTATATACATGCGCATGGTGCGTCGTAGGAATGAGAAGAAAAAAAACAGGAAGAAAATAGAGGACGCCATCCGAATGATGATTATGAGAACAAATGGGAATGAAATGACTCCGTCATGTACAAAAATGGTGAGTATGATGGGAATGGGAAAGGAGGAGGGTTGGGAAGTGTTGCAGACATTCTTTTCCCAATCATGAGTGATCACCCGGTAATGGATTGGATCGATCACTTGCCCGGCCTGGAGGTCAGGGCAGAAAAGAGGAAGCAGAGAAAGGTATATACATAGTACACACAAGAAGACCCGCGGCGTATGAGCCTGGATTGGGGAAGGGGGGGGGGGGGGTGAATTAAAGATAAAGTAAGTATTGAGAGGTGGGTTGTGCGAGATTAAAAAGGTTAAACTGTCTTTTCCTCCACGTTCACATCATCACTATCCCCCACGGCGGCCGAGCCCCCCTTCCTCCTCATCATCACTCGATTCGGCGCTGTCTCTGGGCGGTACGAGCATCCACGCATCAGCGGGCCTCCCACTATGGGCAAGACTCGGGAACGTGGGCTCCTGCCTCCTGACTCCCGTGAGCGGGGAGTTCGGGTTCGAGCTGAAGCTGTCGAACCAGTTGTCACTGCCTGGCGTGGCGGAGGCGGTACGCATGGTGTTCCTGCTCTCGATGTTGCGGGACGTGAGCGTGGAACTGATGCGCGACTTCTTGCGCCGAAAGAAGACGCGGAAGGCCGGGATGCAGAAGCATATATGTCCTACCAGCGTCTCTATCGCCGACCACAGGATCACTCGGCGTAGCGAGCGGATCCAGGATTCGGGGGTGCTGGATGTGTGCCTTGAGGTGTAGGTGTGGAGTGCCAGGAAGCGGAGGAAGCTGGTAAAGATGCTGAGGAAGCCGAGGAGGTAGATTGTTATGAAGCCGTACTTTTCCCTCGGGGTGAGTTTTAGGGTGGAGATTATGGAGAGGGGGATGAATGATACTGTTTTTTTTGTGGGGTTAGTGCGTGTTACGGGAGGAGGGGAAGGGGAGGGGTCAAGATGGGGAATTTTTTTTCTCTCTTTCTTTCTTCCCGATATATATAGAAGGGTAGTTGGGGGCGAGGTGAGTTAGATGCGCGTACTGAGTAAGTCCGTTCCAATATTAACCCAAGATGCAGCAATGATCCAATCCCGCTTTGTAAGCGGGGAGCAAAAGTTATCTTCAACGGACCTAAAGAACATTTCCAGAAAGCCCGTTAGCAATCTCGGCGTATCATACAAAAGCAATTCCGACAACCGGGTTTCGGAGAAGGGAGCAAGGGAGCGGGAAAGGGTGTATAAATAAATAAGTATAATTTAATGGAAAACGCACCAATTCCGACCAATGGGTCTGCACCACATCATCTGGGTCATCAGAACCCCTGCTAGCGATACTAGTGTCGCCGCCATTGCGGCGTATAGCAGTCTTCGAGACTTTTCGTTCAGGGTAGGTACTAGGTCATAGTAGACACATAGGAATGCACCTTTGAGTACCCAGAGATGACAGATGTACGATATTGATGCCCAGAAACTTCTCTAAATTCCGTTTCGGCGGCCGGAAATCGAGCGCGCGCGGGAGAGTCAACACCTTTTCGCTTTCTCGCTCGGGGAAGTGGGGTGGGGGAAGGTTTTTTCTAAGTGCTGGAGGTATCGGAGAGAGATATGCCCCGAGGGCACAATTCCTCCGGGAAATGGGGTTAAGGGTATCGGGGGAAATGAGTCCCCAGAACCCGGATAGGCAGACAGAAAATCCCCAGGATTACCCCGAAAAATCGGCGGGTGGGGGGGAAAGACCAACCTTCAAATATGGAATCCCCGGCACCATAGCCCAGTCCTCCACGTTCTCGTGTTCCGCCTGCCCCATAAGCTCCTCAACCGCATTCCATCCCCAAAGCACAACCTGAACAGTATTCAGCAGTGCAACCACCACCAGAAACCCCTCCCCAATAGCCTTGGCCCCCCATTTCCTCGTTGCAGCCCTCTTCTTCTTCTTCTCCCCGTACAGGGTAATGTACAAGCGCATGGCCGTGAGCGCAGGAATCGTTACTCCCGTGACGATGAGCACACCCAGTACGTCGTTGACTCCGATATGTCCGTGGCCCCCCATACTTTGCAGCGGTTTCTTACTTACTCATCTACCTATCGAGGAAGGTAGGTATAAGCACATATGGGTCCAGTTGGGAAGAGGAGGGGAAAGAAATTAAAGAGTGAAAAAAGGAAAAAGAAAAGAAAAAGAGAAGAGGAAAGAAAAGGAAGAGGAGAGGAAGAGGAGAGGAGGTGAATGGGTTTTCTGGGATGGTCCTCCCCTAAAGTAGATGTGGTTTGGATGAATTTTGGGGTGGGTGGGTTGAGCAGAGCTCTCTGTCTAGCTAAGGAGGGGCC